CAAAAATTTCAGAGGAAAGAATATTACCAGAGATAAAGAGGATAATTTTGTAATGACAAAAGTTCATCAAAGGAATTTAATAATTTTAAATATTATGCACCTAATTACAGAGCTATTTAAACAGAAACATTTGATACAAAAACTGACAGAACTGAAAGGAGACAGGACAAATCTATAACTGTCTTCAGAGACTTCAGCATTTCTTTTTAGTTCATGCATAGAAAAAAACAGCACCAACCAACCAATCAGGAGCAACAGAGTACTGCTAGAGCCAGCACAGAGTACTCCCCAGCAGTGGCGCACACATTCAGCTAAGTACTGGAAAGCATTCACCACAGTGAGGGTCATAAAGAGGTCTCAATAAACTTTAAAAAGTATAAAACTCATTGAGTGTATTCTATGACACAATGGAATAAAACTAGAATCAGTCACAGAAAAGATTCAGGATCATCTTCAAATTCTGGAAAAAAAATCAGTAGGGCAATCAGAAAACATTCTTGAACTGAATAAAAACAGAAGCAAAAATAACACTTAAATTTTTGAGATATAGCTAGAGTAGTGCTCAGATTAAAGCATTAAAAGTGTACATTAAGCGGCTGGGGTTGTGGCTCATCGGTAGAGCGCTCGCCTAGCACGTTTGAGGCCCTGGTTTGATCCTCAGCACCACATGAAAATAAATAAATAAAATAAAGGTACTGTGTCCAAATACAACTAAAAAATAAATATTAAAAAATATATGTTAAAAAGGAAGAAAGGTCTAAAACCAATGATCTAAGCTTCTATCTGGGGGGGGGGAGAAGGCAAAAATCAACTGAAGAAAAAAATGAAGGTCATATTTGAAATCAGTGAAATAGAAATAACAGAAAAAAAAATCACTGGAAACTAAAAATAATGCTTTGCAATAAAACCAATAAACTATAGCTGGAATGATCAAGGAAGAAAAACAGGAAGAGGAGAGGAAGAAGAGGGAAGGAGAAGATGAGAGGAGGAAGAGGGGAAGAGACAAGAGAAGGGGGAGGAAAAGAAAAAAGATAATATGATACAAATTGCCAATATCAGGGATGAAAGAGGGAACATCATTATAGGTCCCACAGAAATAAAACTGGATATCAAGGGGACATTATTAACAACTTTATGTCAATAATGTTAGATGAAATTTAGACACGAACACTAAATATTCAAGATGTAATTAATAACTAAAATAGATATACATCTACTAAAGAAATTCAATGTGTAGTTAAAAATCTTCCACAGAAAACTTTAAGTCTGTTGGTTTCACTGGGAAATTCTATCAAATGTTTAAGGAAAAATAAACAAAAATTATATATAAACATGAGAAAGCAGAGGAGAAAACATTTCTTAGCTCATCTCATGAGGGCACTAGACTGACTAAAACAAGGTGAGGATATGAGAACAGAAAGCTCCATGAGAACTACAGAGGAACACATCCACATCAGTCATAGCCACATGTGGAACGCAAAGCTGACTTAATATTGTGATTTGGACTGAATATTGTTGATTTAAATATCATTCAATGTGATCATTAACAAAAAAGGGAAAACTATATGATCATATCAGTAGATACAAAGAAAGCACCTGCTAAAATTCAACACTCATTCATGATAATACACTCAGCAAACTATGAATGAAATAATTTCTTCCAAAGGATAAAAGACATCTATGAGAAACCCAGCATTATATGGGATGGTTTGAAACTGAAAAACTGCCTTCAAAACTGAAGAGAAGAAAAAAAGATACTTGCTCTACACTTCTATTTAATATTGTTTTGCAGGTTCTAGCCAGTGTGATAAGGCAAGAAAAAAAAAAAAAGGCAGATGGATTAGAAAGAATGAGGTAAAACCTCTTTATTTGCCAAAACATCTATGTAAGATATCTATAAAAAGCTGATAGAATAGGTGAGTTTAATAAGGTTATAGGATATAAAGTCAACAAAGAAACAAAAAACCCAATTTTGATTCTATAGTATAGCAAAGAAAAATAGATAATTAAAATGCCACTGATAATAGCATAAAATCGTACAGTATTTAGTTATAAATATATTTTTTTAGTTATAAATATTAAAAAATACAGATAAGACTCATAAATTCAAAGCTACAAAAACGTTTTTGAGAAAAGTTGAAGAAGACCTATGTGAATAGGGGACATATAGAATTTTCAGGGATTGAACACTGAATAATAGTTAATATGTCAATTATCTCCAAATTGATCTATAAATTCAATGCGACCTCAATCAAAATTTCCCTACTTTTTTTCCTTTAAAATAATTTTTTTGTTTTTATTATAGCATTATAGTTGTACATAATAATTGGGTTTGTTTTGACATAATCATACATGCATGGAATTTAATTTACTCCCTTTTAGTGCCCAGTTTCCTCCTTTCTCCTCCCTTCTCCCTCCTTCTATTCCCCTCCTCTACTCTACTGGTCTACCTTCCATTTATTTATTTATTGTTAATTGATGACTTTATATGTATATATCTAGCTTCCACAAATGAGAAAAAAATTCAACCCTTGATTTTCTGGCCTGATGTTCTCCAGTTCCACCCATTTATATTAACATCAGTCAGGAACAAAAGGATGCCAAAATTTCATTCTTCTTTATGGATGAGTAAAACTCCACTGTCTACATATACCACATTTTCTTTATTCATTAGTCTATTGATGGGCACCTGAGCTGCTTCCTTGTCTTGGGTATTTTGAGTTGTGCTGCTATAAATACTGATGTGGGCTGTATCACTATAGTATGCTAATTTTAGTTCTTTTGGATAAATACAGAGAATACATAAAAGACTCAAAAAGCTTAATACCAAAACCCCAAATAACCTAATCAAGAAATGGGTTAAAAAAAACAACTAAACAGACATTTCTCAAAACAACATATATACCAAGCAATTGGGGAAATGCACATCATAACTATATTGATATTTCATCAGAATGGCAATTATCAAGAATAAAAAATGCTACTGAGGATGTAAGGTAAAAAGGTACAGTCAGACATTGTTGGTGGGACTGCAAATTCACACAATCATTTTCCAGAGTGGGGAGATTCCTCAAAGAGCTAGGAACAGAGCCACCACATGAACCAGCTCTTCCACTCCTCAGAATTTATCCAAAAAGAACTAAAGTCAGCACACTCTTTTCGTTTCAACAAAAGAAACTGAGAAGTTGATTCTAAAATTTCTATAAAAAGGCAAAGGATTCAGAATAGCCAAAATAATTTTTAAAAGAGAAAACACTAAAGGGCTATGATACAGTATTTTAAGACCCCCTATAAAATTAACAACATACTATTGGCATAAGGTAACCAAATAGATAGGGATGTTTAATCAACAAAGGTTCTAGAACAACTGTTGACTGTCCGAGTGTTAAAAAGAAAATTTGAGCTTTTACTTCATATCATACATGAAAATTAAATTGAAATACATCATAAACTTCAACATCAGAGGTAAACCCATCCAATTTCTAGAAGAAAACCCAGGAGAAATCTTTATGGCCTTGGCTAAACAAACATTTCTTAGAACTACCACCACCACAACAAAAGATAACTTGGACTTCTTCAAAACTAAAAATTTTCTTCTTCAGAAGATACTGTTAGGAAAACACAAAGACAGGTCATAGGCTGAAAAATATCTGCAGTACTTCATATCTGATGAAGATGTGTTTTCAGGATATACAAGTCTTATTACTCAGTAACAAAAACAAAGAACCCAGTTAAAAATATGAGTAAAAGATCTGAACAAACACCAAGAAGACATGTGAAAGACATTAATTAGCATGACAATATGCTTAAATCATTATTCATTAGTAGAATGCAGATTAAAACCACAGTGAGATCCCATTTCCCATATGTTACATGGTGAGATTAAAAATACCAGTGGTAAGTATTAGTGAGGGTGAGGAGTGAATGGAGCCCTCCTACACCACTAGAACCAAACGGTACAGTCACCTTGGATAATGGTTTCTTCAGATTTTAAAAATATWCTTAGCATGAAACCCAGACATTCTACTCTAAGTTCCTAGACAAGGGAAATAATTATCTATGATCGATTGATCAATCAATCAGTCTGTCTGTCTGTGGTAGGTAGGTTGGTAGGCAGGCAGGCAATCACATGAGGACTAGTACATTCATTTTCACAGTGCCAATATTCAAAATTGTGAAATAACATAAACAACTCCAATATCTATCAGTGAATGGACAAACAAACTGAGGTAGTCCACATGATGGAATAATACTCAGCAATAGAAAGAAACTAACGACCTGAGCCAGGTGTGGTGGCACATGCTTGTAATCTCAAGTGACTCAGGAGGCTGAAGTAGGAGGACAGTAAGTTTGAGGCCAGCTTCAGCCACTTAGTGAGAAGACGTCATCTCAAAATAAAATAAAAAGGGCTGGGGATGTAGTTCAGAGGTAGAGCCCTGGTACCCAAACCAAACAAACAAACAACAAAACAAAAAAACACAAAACAAACAATGACCCAAAACCCCAACTGATTTGCAAAATAATATGAATGCCTCTCAAAGGCATCACACTAAATAAAAGAAGCCAGACACAAATAACTTCATATTATAGGAGTCCACTTACATGAAATTCTGGAAAAGGCAAAGACAAGGCAGACAGCGGTCCTTTGAGAAGAGTAAGGAGAAGGAACTGATTTGAGGGGACGTAAAAGAGCTTTTAGTGGTGATGAAAACACATACAACATTATATACAATGGTTGTGGTGGTTCATTTGTCAGGACTGATCAAACTGTTCACTTAAAATCAGCGATATAAATTATATTTTAATAAGCTAATTATAAAATAACATACTATATATCAAAATGTATTTTCCTATTTGCAAATAAGAGTTCTAAAATAATCTTTCAGTTTGAGCTTACAATACCTTTTTGTCCTTTGGAGGATGAGAGTCTCAATGAGCACATAGATTAAGAGACCATGAGCAAGCTTTCCTAGGGGAACAAYGTTTTCCATGATCCTTACCAAGAGTAGTGAGTCCTTCTGAGATAGAAGTGAGGACATACAGGAGCACAGGAGGCTCTAAGTTGGTGATGAAGCTCATGTGGTCCTGGGTGAGACATTCCAGGAGTGGATAATACGACTGGCTCAGTTTCCGATATTGCTACAACACAGAGAGGGACTGCATGTCAAACCACAGGGAAGAAAAAATTATGTACAGTACAAGGGCAATTGCAACTTATAATATTGGAAACTGTCAACTTATTTTTATTTTTTTATTTTATTATTTTTTTAAATTTATTTTTTAGTTTTTGGCGGACACAACATCTTTGTTTGTATGTGGTGCTGAGGATCGAACCCGGGCTGCATGCATGCCAGGCGAGCACGCTACTGCTTGAGTCACATCCCTAGCCCTCAACTTATTTTTAAATACAAGGTCAATAAATATATTAAAAAATGGCATAATGATTCCCAATTCAGCATTTAAAAGGGTTCTAATAGGAATCCCTTGATCTCTAGAAATGTTAATTTGAAGCTGTAAYAGAATGTTACTTCAGTTTTACTCTACATGGCTAATACCTAAAAGCAGGTAAATATGTGGAAGACTGAATCATTTTTCTGAACTGGAATATTATAACAATGAATAGCACTTAATAGTGGTTAGAAAACTTTTGTTATTATTAGTTTTTGTTTTTTAAGCACAAAGAAATTTGCTGTTATAATAGGACTTGGCATTATAGTCTGATATATTTAAACAATGCCAACCCATCTGACTAAATCATCCTTTGGTAAATGGCTTAGTATTTTCCATACTACAGGCAAAGATAAAACATACAAGAAATATATCTGGAAAATCTTAAATGTAACCCAAATTGATGTCAAAGAAACATGCTGCTCATAAGAAAGGTAAAGCAGAGCAGCATTTCCTAAAGTGAGACGAAGGTAGCTACCTCTGTAAGAATCACTCGGGGTGCTCGTTCTGATCCCGCTCTAGACTCACTAAGTGSAAGGCTCTGAGGTGGGGCCCGCAATGTGTGTTTTTAACATACATCTTACGTACTCTCAAGTTTGAAAATTATTGAACTGGAGGTTTGCTTGACTGTTTAAAAAAAAGGGGGGGGGGCAAGAGAAAAATTTCTAGAGTGACACCATATTTCTTGGAGGACCTCAGCTGTAGTGAAGAGTCCCCTCAAGGAAGTGAATGTAACATATGGTTGATTTGATCCAAGTGTCTCCTTTGTAATGTCTGTCCTCCGGGCACAGCCTCAGTGAGCATTCTGTGTCACTGGGAGGACGCCTGGTGACTTCAGCTTGAGACATATCCCCGCAGAGGCCAGCCTAGGATGGTGGGGACGCCTTGAGTCCAGGAGTGTTTCTCATGAAGGCCACCCCGCACAGGTCCTCAGATCATCCTTGTAACCCTGGGGCTGCGGTGTGTGTGACCAGCTGGGAAGGCCTGAACCATTCTAAGGATGAATTACTTGTCTGCGTTACCCAAGAAATCACTGCCACCACACTGGGCATTCAGTGGTTTYTGGGTAATCTGACAGATGTTTAAAAAAAGCCTGATAATGAGAGCCCAGTGAAGGAAACAGGAAATTCGAATTACCAACAAGCACCCTGCAGGTGTTCTGATGGATTCAGAGTTTGGAGACCACTGACACACATTAGAGAAACTAGGTGGCCAAGCAGAGAAGGGCCCTGGAGCTCACCCAGTCAATCCACTCATTTTGGAGAAAAAGAGAGGAGAGCCGTTCAAGGTAGGTAACTAGTGCGTGCAGGTCTCCACATATGTAGGGCTGCTCCACCTGTGGTTCTGCACTCTGTCCAGTTCACCAGAATTTTAGTGGAAAAGAAAGCCAAACCACAGGGCAAGTCAGAGGAGCCGAACAGAAGGACTGGAAGACCTCACGGCAACCCTGTTTCTACTGCAGGAAACAGGTGTTTTGGAATTATGAGTCTGGCCGTAAGCAATCAACTGAAAGTGCTCATTACATTTTGCCACGGCACAATCTGGAGCACTCTGGACGACCCACCTGGAAGAGGGTGGCAGGTACCCCTTCGAACCTGCAGTTGATTCTATAAGCACAGTCACTAGGGGTGTCACTAGATAGCGCATTTAGCGGTGAGTGAGACCAAGCATGCTGTCCCAGAGGGGAAACTGCTCTGGGGTTGCTCTCGCTCCCCAGCCCTCGTCCTACAGTTGAGGGCCTGTGGTTGTTGCTGCTCGCTTCACAAAGACGCCCACATTACATGATTGCTTACTAGCAAGTCGCTGTGGGACACCGACAGCAGCATTTTGACAAAGGCCTGGAGTACATTGTCAAAATGGTTGTCCCCATACAACTTGAAGACGCCAAAGCTGACATAATTTCCACATAAGGCAGATTTGAGAGCTGAATAGCAGATGGAGATGCCCTTGAGTTTCATTGGATAAATCTGATCTTTTGAGAGGCTCCCAAGAGACAGGATCTGATTACCTGTTTTAGGGTAAAAGCAGAAAGAGAAAGTGCCATAAGTAGAGGTAATTCAAAGCAGCCACAGGGCACAATGCTTAACATTTCACCTCACTGTGAATGTTCCCTTCCCTCCAGCACTGCTCCAAAAACAGAGCCCTCCACAGAAGTGAAAACTACAAATGCTTAAGGCCATTTACCTGGGAAGGACAAAGGGCCCAGGGGAAATCGATCAGGGCATGGGAAAGTCTGGTGTTTGTATCTGGATGGTGATTACATTGAAATATACAGAAATACGTAAAAGTTTATTGAGTTATACTCTTCAGATTAATTCACTTTTGTACTTTAATATAGATGTTATTCTTTCAATAAAAAGTTTTTAAAAAGTAGAATAAAATAATCCACTAAGAGAAAAAGATAAATCTGATTAAGATGTAAATTACTCTAAATTCTGGGTAAACTTCTAACATTTACATATGAACTAGATCTTGAATTGCTTCACTTTTAGGAGCCTCATAGGTTTGGTTTATGAATTAAATGAAATAGGACACACATTTTTGGCACAGTGCCTAATAAACACTCTTTCCTTTTTCTCCTTAGTTGTTTTCTCAGAAGACCTCAAGAGACAATTGTTTTTAATATTTATTTTTTARTTGTAGTTGACACAATACATTTATTTTATTTTTATGTGGTGCTGATGATTGACCCAAGTGCCTCACGCATGCTAGGCGAGTGCTCTACCACTGAGCCCCATCCCCAGAAGACTGTTTTTAAAACTATCTCAATTCTATGCTGATTAAAGACAAAGAAATGTTTATATAATCACTTAAAAAATTTTCTATTGTAATCTTTAGCATTTACATCAACTTTTTTTTTTTTTTTTTTTTGTATTAGGGACTGAACTCAAGGGTGTTTAACCACTAAGTCATATCCCCAGTCCTTTTTATATTTTATTTTGAGACACGGTTTCAGTAGGTTGTTTACAGCCTCACTAAGTTGCTGAGGCTGTCCTTGAACTTGCCATTCTCCTGCCTTAGCCTCCTGAGCTGCTGGGATTAGAGGCGTGTGCCACCACGCCTGGCAACAGTTTGTTTTTGAAATGTGCACTATTAATGCACATTACTAGGCAATATCTAAGAATGTTTTTTAAAAAAATATAGTCATACTGTTTCTTAGCTCTGCTTTCTCCTGTTCAAGTGAAAACTGCTTCTAAAAGTGAACTACATTCAGTTCACAAAGGTTAGAGGCACTGTGGCTTATCCTATGTCAACCTGGCTAAACCAGGATGAAACCCATTTCCCTGTAAGACTGTGAGTGAAGGGGCCCAAAGAGAAGTTTGTGTGAGATCTGGAAGGTAGATGCCCCAAATTTCTTCAAGCTGTGATTAGAATTGGTGACAATTAGAATGTGGAAATGCTTCTAGGTCCCATTTGTTGTTGGGACTACCAGTCCTGCTGACCACTGACCCCATGCCCACCAGTCCACACACTGGGCAGCAAATTTACAGGAGCAGCTCTGCAGAGGCAATGGCCTTTCACTGACCTTAACAAAAAGCTTATTAGTGTATTGTAGTTATACAGAATGGTGGGGTTCACTTTGACGTATTCATAATTGTACGTAACATTTCGATCCCAAGTACTCCTTCTTTCCTTCCTTCCTCTCTCTCTGATTCCCTTCTTCTACTCTGTGGGGCTTTTATTCATTTATTTTTCATCAGTGCATTAGTTATGGATGTAGCTGGAATGCACTGTGACATATTCATACATGCACACAGCATATTTTCTCAATTTCATTCTCTAGTTCTTTTTCCTCCCCTTCTCTCCACCCTCCTGCTTGGTCCTTCACTTCTACTCTAAGCTTTCCCTTCTATTTTTGTTAGATCCCCTTGTTTATTCCTTTCTTCTTTTTAGCTTCTGCACATGAGACAAAACATTTGACCCTTGATTTTCTGAGTCTGGCTTATTTCACCTAGGACGATATTCTCTAGTTCCATCTATTTACCAGCAAATGACATAATTTCAGTCTTCTTAATGGCTGAGTAGAACTTCATCCTATTTACACACAAACACACACATTTTCTTTATCCATTAGTCTATTGATGGGCACTTAGGCCGGTTCTATAACTTGGCAATTGTGGTTTTTGCTGCTATAAACATTAATATGATGTATTTCTATAATATGCTGATTTTAGATCTTTTTTAAAAAATATTTTTTACTTGTCAATGGACCTTTATTTTATTTATTTATATGCGATGCTGAGAATCTAACCCAGTGCCTCACATGCTAGGCAAGCGCTCTACCACTGAGCCACAACCCCAGCACTGATTTTAGATTTTTTGAGGAATCCCCATACTGATTTCCAGAGTGGTTGTACTAATTTGTAATTCAACAATGTTTGAACGTAGCTCCACCACCACATCCTCACCAGCAATTACCATTATTTGTATTCTCGAGGATTGTCATTCTAAGTGGGGTGAAATGAAATCTCAGTGTATTTTTAATTTCTATCTTTGATTGCTAAGAATGTTGAACATTTATTTTTTCATATATTTGCTGGTTATTTGTATTTTTTCTTTTGAGAAATGGCTCTTTAGATCTTTTGCCCATTTATTAAGTGGACTGTTAAGTTTTTTTGTGTTCTTTATGTATTCTGGTTATTAATCCCCTGTTGGAAAAGAAGCAGGTAAAGATTTTTCTCTCATTCTTTAGGCTCTCTCTTCATGGTCTTGTTTCCTTTTCTCTGCAGAAGCTTTTCAATTTGATGCCATCCCACTTGGTTTTATACAATGATACCTGTCCCTCCTCACTCCATTACTTTCATGATCCTAATCCAGCATCCGGATGTTCCTACCCTCTGGACCTCCCTGTAAGCTTGGACATCCCTATTCATGCCATTATTTCAGAAGAGCTGATCAGTGAAGTTTTTCCCTGAACCTTCAACTCTCCCCTTTGGACTCATTTCCTCATCTTTACCCAAGATTGTAAAAAAGGTATAATTCCTAAAATACATTTTCTACTCCATACAGTTCTTGTTCCCTGCCTGATGTGTATATCAGTCACGTTACTGTGAAGAGAACTAACTGGGTATCCATGTGCCTCTCTGGTAGGGAACACCATCTTCCCTGCTACACCGCATGCCTGCGAAGTCCCACCCTTCATTCAGGCATTCCTGAGATCTGCACTGCGGACTACTGGGAGATGGGGACATTGCCAGGTGGGCAGCCATGGAAGCTGGTGACAGTTGCTTCTTTGGCATTACTGTCAAAGCACCAAAAGAAACAATGTTTACCTGAATGAAATAAACCCTTTTGAAGGCTAGAATCAAAAGGAAAATCCCTGTTTCCTAGCGACGATGTTGGCTATACTGGGGGTCAGGAGAAAGGCCCATCCTTAGTTTTGCATCCTTAACACGGGTCATGGGTAAGATGGATGCTGAGGCTATGCTGAAGCTTAGGAGAGGAAAGGTGTGAACTGGATGGCTAAGACCACCAAAGGCAACAATGGAGGACAGTCACAAGCAGTACAAAACTGCCACTGTCACTGTACATGCTAAGGCAGTCTAAGAGATCTCATTAAACAGGAAAACAACTGAGAAGTAAGAAGAGGACTCCTGATCTACATCATCTGGCTTACTAGAAATATCTTCCTCATTATTAGCTTCTATTTACTGCTATTCTCTCCTTCTTAACCTCCACTCTGCCCTTCATGGAGAGGCCATTCATTGTTATTAGCTTCTAGCACTCAAGAGTACCCCTTCTAAACAAGTCTCAAGACGTACATTCAGAAAGGGATATAGACCAAAAGATGCAAAGTCTCTTCTGCTCACCTGAATCAACTTCCAAGTCTGTTTCTATAAGCCCCCTTCCCCCAACTCCCTACCTCTTCCATGGGTGACTGACTGCAGGATGTCCTCTTTAGGTGAAAAACTGTGTAACAAGATAATGCTCTAATGGAAGATAAATGGACAGTACTCAATGCCGGGATGAACTGTGTGGGCTTCTAAGTTGCACTGCCCCGGTGTGAATCCTCACTCTTTCCTGCTACTTGGGTATCTGAGCAGATCATAAGCCTCTGTAAGTCACTGTTTCCTTATGTATAAAACAAGGATAATAACTCCTTTAACTCCCAGGCTCTCTTGTGGAGCAAGGGAGGTGACATATGTTAAGTGCTTACCCACAGGAGCTGGCACAGTGCTCAATAAATGTCAACCATGACAATGTGCAATTCTGGGCTCATGTTTCCCCCAGTCTAGTCTCCTGTGTTTACACTTGRAGGAGCTCCTGTCTGGCACAGAACAATGTCATTTCCCCTTAATCCTTTTCATTTACATATCCAGTGGTCAATACTGTATACGGTCACGGTCACTACCTTTTTTGTGTTCCTCCAAGAGGATGAGTTGTAGGTGGTATGTTTGCCCCCTATCCCACCATTCTCTGTGCCTCAAGAGTTTTCAGAAAAAACAGAGCAAGGATGTGACACACCACAGGAGCATCTCGTGCCAGGAGGAACTGACAGGATGAACATGGTGCCTTTTGGCTTATCAGACAATCCCTGCATTGATTTTACCTTTTCATTTTCCCCTTTCTAAAATTATTTATTTTTYGATTGCAGTCGGACACAATACCTTTATTTATTTATTTATTTTAGAGAGAGAGAGTTTTTTTTAATATTTATTTTTTAGTTTTCGGTGGACACAACAACTTTATTTTATTTTTTTTATGTGGTGCTGAGGATCGAACCCAGCGCCCCGCACATGCCAGGCAAGCGCGCTACGGCTTGAGCCACATCCCCAGCTCTATTTCATTTATTTATTTTTACGTGGTGCTGAGGATCAAACCCAGGGCCTCGCACGTGCTAGGCGAGTGCGCTACCGGTGACCCACCACCCCAGCCCCTCGTTTTCCCTTTTAATCTCTAAAATTTTAAAGTGGTTAGTGCTCAGCTCCCAGGTTCTATGTCTTCATTCCCCATCAGGGCAGTGACATGAGACCTCCTTTCACCCCAAGTCACTCAGCCCATCTCTGT